TTTTCTGGCACCAATGTAGTGCTCAAGACTGCTCTAATGACAAGGTAGGCATAATACTCGGGCAGAATATGCATTGCCTACATAAGGCGTGGAATTTAGGCTACTGCCACGGCCAGGGTATCATTGGTCTCTCTATCAACATGTTGAGGTAAAGGAGCAACCAACGGAATAATTATGTGCAGGATCATTCGAAATGCATGTATTTTTCTAAAAATTCAGGCGTGTGCTCATGCGAAAAAATTTGCACTGTGGAAGCAAATTAATAAATAACACTTGCCATCCATATTTGATTCAAAAGGCGAGCTGACTTCTTTTCCTATCAACCAGACGAGTTTTTGGTTATCATACTTGAAGCTATTATGCAAAGTACTTGTAATGTCCTGGGCCTCACAGCAAGTGCTACACTGGCACGGTAGGTCAACAAAAGCCAGCACACCGAAGTGTCAGAAGGCTATCAACATAGACTGAGGAGCATGACACGGAAAGGGAATACAAGTTGTGGAAACACAAATGTCTGCGTAATCTAACACACTCTTAAAAACGCCATCCAGTTACTACTCATTCAGTGACCAGAAATGAATTATGGTGTCTAGCAAAGCAGCAGAAGACGTTTTTTCACACATTTCAGGCATTTAATGATTGACAACTACAAACTAGTATAAAACATCGTCCTCGGTCTTTCGACCCTCATTGAATCCCTTTCAATCGTCTGTAAAATTTGAGGAATCTCGGCTCCAAGTAAGGGTCCAAAATGTCATTTTTACAGTTGAAGCCACAAAATTTATCATAATTCGCCTTTTGTGAACAAATGATGCCTCTCCAGCCGAAATCCTGGCGTAATCAAAATTAACGATATCCAACAATAACAACAAATCAGAGTGAACAATTATGGAATAGTTCATCTTACCAACTAAAATGCGACTCGTACCTTATCCTATAACCAAAACGATGAAACAGCAGAATATTTTAATGCTTTTTACATTTAGTAATGTACAATTAATACCTAAACGCCCTCACGCATCTACATTTACATTCAAACATATTCGTATTAATTCTATGTATATTTATATCCATATATCTATATACATCTGTGAACAGTTAGACCCATATCAAAATTTTCTGATTAAAAAGCTACCGTTTCTAATGAAAAGAATGCGAAAGCATTTAAGATTACAGTATAAGGTTAACTATATTTCCCGAATAGTTTTGCTGCGATTTTTTGCCATTACAGTGATCCTACTCTTCTCGCAATGATTTCTTCTCCCAATCTTCCACTTTCGTGAGCTGCATCCACATTGCTTGCAGGATCTTTGAGACTGTATGTGAATAACTCTGTACGCATATCGTTTGGCGTTTCAAGAAAAATGCTTGTTTCAAGATGTGTTGAATGCAAGATTTAGCTGATTTGTGCAATTATGATTATTAGGCATGCGAATTGCAAAGCAAATGAATGACAAGATTAAGTAATGCGCTTTCTTATGCACACAGTGTTCTATCTCTATCGTTGTGATGCATAGAGAAGAATAAAATGTTGGTCATTGGATAGCATTTGTGGGTACTGAATTGGCAAAACACGCAAGGAGATGACATTTGATGACTTGGTCTTATTTCTATGGTGGAGGTAAATTCAACCATGTTAAAGTGAGCGGAAAAATTCCCAATGCATGTTCAATTAGACCATGTATGGAGGTACTTTAGCAACACAATTTCGCGTCAGCTTGACACCACAGTGTATGAGTGTGCTGCCAAGTAGCATGAACGAACGCTTTTTCGCATGGTTGTTGTAGCAGAAATGAAATTGGCACTCAAGTGGAGAGTAAGGGTGAGAGTGCAGGAGAAGCAGAACTTACTACCAAGCCTTTACGTGTCAGCTCAACTGACTGCTTATAAGTAAAAGGTGCACACCCTAAATCTCTCTCTCCTCCCTCTACCCCGTGAGTGTAAAACGACTTAAGCAGTCTATTGTGAAAAACAGTCAGAAACGACTGGTCTAAACCAAATTCGTGGATTAGCTAGCGTTGCCGATTCCCGATCTGTAAGCCTACCTGTATCACACAAGAATTTGATGTCTTTCTCCAATAAACCTTTTTGATCCGAGGGTCAGTAGTTGAAGGAGAAATGTAGAAATAATTAGATTATTGTGTGCAAAAGGATTACAAACCTACAAACTTGGCCACACGATCGCGTTGCTGAGTGGAAGCTCACCCCGTAGGGACTGAAGAGTCCGCACAGTGAACTAACCATTTAAGCAAGAAAAGGAAACTATTTGTCTCCTATTCCTACGTTATGTATGGGAATAATGATGCATTGATCTAGTTTAATACTAATTATCCCAATTCGCCGATTATAAAGACTCAAATCCAGCACCTCACGATAGCAGCGTAGCATCCCGAGACTTCCCCCAAGACGAGTGAAGATGTCATGTTCGGGCAGCTAGGAGTAAATCATAAGAATTAGAAAAATTTGGGTAAGCTATAGAATGAATATATTAAAAGCACAATTAATTAACAAGAGGAGTTAACATCTAAGTTTTTTATAGTTTAATATTATTAACAAAATAAAAAAGAGATAAGGATCCTGTAAAAATGTCTAATGCTTGTTTAGCTCAATAAAATTTAATGGCAGCGGAACAAACTAACGAATTACATTCCCTGTTACTCAGTGTTTAGGTTTGGAGCCGCCACCTCCTCATATTTTCTGTTATGGATTGTGAGTTTTGTTGAGTATGAATTAATGTCATGTTCAGCTACTAATCAGTCGTCAAGACCCTTCCGCGTTGGATGCAAAAAGTGCGGATTTTGTAAGTACACCTTTGTCTTATTTGTTCCGTCTGCACAGCCGGTCACCTAACTTTTCAATGCCGGAATTATCTGCGTTCGGGGGAAACAAATAATGTTGACTTGGACATTGAAAGCACCAGTTCAGACTCGGACGACGATGAGATGCTTAAGGAGGCCATTGGGAAAAGGAAGGCCGAGTTAGGTTTGTTCCGTGCCACTCATTTCGCTTGCCTACTTCGTCTTATTGGTGTCAACATGGACTAGTGAATTTATAAGGGGAAAACTTCGAGTTCTATGTCACTCCTGCTTTTTTGGATTCACGTCGTTCAGATGTGACTTGTTTAATCTTTGCCAATTTTGCCTCTCATCGTTTGCATATTGGAACAGTTTCGGTTGAAAAATATTGCCCAGTCTTGTCTTTGTGGGATGATTTAACGATCAGTGATAGTGCCCTGGGTGCCACCACCTCTTTACTTCCTCACCCGCCTTTCCGTCAGCACCTAATTTGTTTTGTCCTAGTCAAACTATCGAATATCTGGGCGAATCAGGCACGACTCTAACGTTGGAACTGTTTCCTTTCAGCTGCCGCTAAAAAAGCCCTGAAGAAGAAGAGGCGAAAAGCAAGGTTTGTCCCCTTCCCCTCCTTTTTCCCCGCCTTATAGTTGTTTTTTTACACTACGCGACACCACCTACCAGAATCTTCTTTTTCAGCAAAAGAAGATCCCGGTCGAGAAGTAGATCCTCCTCCCGCAACAAGCACAAACACTCCCATCGGAAGCATCACGGCCACCACCACCATAAACACAAAAAGTCGGACAAAAAATAGGCTCCCGTAACCTCTCCGTCCCCAAATGCTGATGTAAAAGTCTTTTATTCACTTTTGACTTACGTACATTTATAGTGAACACAGGATAGGTGCGGAGACATATATAAAGCGGTTAGAGATGAGAGTGACTAGAGTTCGGTGAAAATTCATCACAGTCTTGAGACACAATCTTTCAAACTCATTTCACTTTTCCGCCTCCCACTGTCACTAGTCGTCTCCTCAGTCATAATCAGACTGATCAACGCTGTCCAGCCGTTGAATGGGTGTGCGCTCAGCCCTCGACCTGTCTGATCGTCGTAGCGTTCCCACGTGAAACCAGTCCGATTCAGCTCACCCAGCACTGTGTCAACTATTGCCACGGTGAGGCGTTTTTGCAGATTGGCAGCCTTTTCCGCCACTGGAGCAGGTGTCTCTGGGTGTCGCGCGTAGTACCTGCAGCGTGGAACGCAAAGTGAAATCTCATTCAGAGCTACTTTTTTGGGTCGATTTATCAAAGAATCTAGATTAAGTGTGGCTCGAGGGTAGGCAGGTGAGAGAACAGATCCACAGAGGATTTTCAATGAAAAGGAAGAGCTTCAGTGTGGACAGATCAGTTCAGGTTGCTAATGGGTTCAAAGCCGATTAGGGCGTGTCATGGAGGGCTACCTGGATGGTCACTCTGTTTGATTTGATAGACTTCTATCCCACAAATTTCCTTTACTGCTTAGTTTGGCCATGGAAGGTGGAGAAGGTTGTGTGAACAAATGTTGGTAGTTGCTGCATAAATTGTTTTCAGTTGACCTATTTACAGAGAAGGAAGTGACATCCGAACTCGTTCACTCCATTCGTTAAGTCGTGCAATGACAGGGGCACCTGGTGTGAAAGATACAAGTAAAGAGGAAGGGCAGACAAGAATTAGAACGATTCGCTCTTGCGTGGGAAAGAGGTACCAAATGCGTCCCCACCTCTATTACTTAACGAATCATTCCTGATGAGGTAAGAGAAAGATGCTTTTCCAAAGGTGGAAGGAAAGATAGATGCAGAGACGAGGGAACCACCAAAACTCAGCTTATCGTGTGTCAACGGCTTCTCGTAAACACTTCATCCCTGCACTACTTGAGGAAGGAGACAACGAGGGCATAATCAAGTCTTGGCTTCGGGGTTAACTATTGTACAGACCACATGCACACCGGCTGTCAACAACGTGTGCACATCGGCACCGATCAACAGACAGACGAAACTTCCCGATCGAGTGAATAAAGAAGACGACTGAAGAGTACAGATAAATTCAAGGAAAGTGGGACCAAGGGGAGAGATGGCTTACTTGAGGGCCTCGATGGCGAGGTAGTTCATATTGATCCAGACAGCACCACGCCAGTAAGGCGGATCGTGTTGAGTGTTGGCGCGATTATAGAGTGGTGAAATGAGCGCAAGAGAGCGCAATCCGTGGGGCGAGAAGAGCGCGGGGTGGGCGAGACGTTGTAGCAGGGTTGGCAGGCGTGGTGAGGCGGGTGGGAGGAGCCGCAGGAAGAGGGGGAAGAATGAGACGTAGCCCAGACTTGAGGCTACCCACTGCTCCTGTGGCTCTCTTAGCACTTGGCGCTCCTTCTGTGGCTGTGATGGGTGGGAGGGAAAAGAGCTTTTTATGTCTATCCACCCGCCTCCGACTAGCAATCCATTTATGAGAATTATCTGGTGATCTTCAAGTTCCAGTCCATTACATGGGGAAAACAGAAGGAATACAGGATGAAACGGTCTAAATCGCTCGTACTGTAGACGACACTTCGATATTTTTGACTCCACTTGTGTGCTAGGACACATCAAGGTAACTAATAGCTTCTGTTAGCTTAATTTAGTCTCCAAATGATGACACCTCTTGAAGGTGTAATGACCAACACTAGCTAACGAAGATGAGGTGAATTCGCCTAGGTGAGAGGATAGTTGAACCCTCTTTGGTGAGCACAAGCGCCTCATGAAAGTAGTGAAACACATGAGGTATGAGATCAATAGATTCTTCTTTCATTTCAATCTTGCCAACGCACCCATCCCACTACCGCTAGATAATTAGAAGACGATAGGAAAAAAAGTTCAAGCCAACATTGCTTACCTACCAGGAAGCAGGTAATCGTGAAATCATTTTACATCCGCAGCCAACTAGTTCGCTGGGTAGCCACTAAAAGCACACAGTCAGATGAGCGAATCTGCAGCTCCCTTAATTTTACGAGCTCAACCCTGCCCAACAACCCCGTGGAAGTTAATCTACCCACCATAGGCTGACCAGGTAGAGGCGCATGAGTCACAGGAGGGCTGACGAGGGTCACTTCATCTGTATGGAGACCAAAGTCCGCGTAGATGCCGTTCGCCTCATCCCAGTGTAGCTCATCTAGTCGTCGTGGGTCGAGCAACTGCGCTGCTAGGGATCGGTACTCCTCGGCACTCGACGACGACGAAGCAGAGGAGTGCCCTTCAAAGTGTTCTGCTAGACGAGAAAGGGTGCGCGCAAACGCTGCCATCCAGCAGCGTAGATCGAGGTGACGCTCAGAGGCGGTGGGGTGAGAGGCACGTGGGTAGTCATCCAGGCCTGGAGGATTAGAGAGGCAAGAGTGGCTCTAGGTACCTCAGAGGACCTTCCAAAAGAACTTCATTCAGCCTCAAATCCTTCTTTGTCCTCAGCCTCTTAAAACAGAGGATGCAGTACGGATGATCACCACCCATGGTACCCCCCAAGAAATGCACAGCAACTAGTAAATTGGGGAACCCTCTCACAGTAGAGCAAAGTCCTCATATCACACTTTAAGGCAAACATGCATATCTAGCTCCAACTTTTCCGTGAATAAAAGAATTTCAACTCAGCGTCTCATAGGTAAATTCAATGCTAAAAATTTATCAGTCGAAAGAAACAAGTCGTAGCCAGACGTTAGCGACAGAAAAGGAGCCTTCAGCTTGAAGATCACCTCTCCACGAGATACAAATTAACCATTTATCTTGTGAGTAGAAGGTTGCTACCGCTGTACGTATTTTTATTGCTTTTAGCCTTTGAACCCACCTGTGTGCCTGATCAACCTCAGAAGGGGTAACATTGGCTGGTATTGGTGAGCAAGGGACCAGAGGAGAGACAGGTGACCGGAAAACGTCCCACGCATTCATAGCCAGTCAAACAGACTGACTCTATCAACTTCTCCACACAAACTAACTTGTCTAACCTCCATGTGCGTGGGATTGCAGGAAACTTCACATGCATGCTACGCGCCCTACACGTAAACGCAATAGCATAAAGCTAATTCTGGTGTAGGGCACAGAAATTGACACAACTGTCTGACAAAGGATGAAGAGATGTAGGGAAAAAAAAATTTTAAAGTAGACCGTCACACCTACCTGAGGCGAGAGTGAGGGGATTCAACTGAAAGGGATTGTGCGTAGATCTTCCACGCCAACGAAATGCAGTGGGCAGCTCACCGGCTTGAGTAGTAGTGAACCAAACGAACCAGGCGCGAAGACGTGGAAAGGCAATACGTGCCCATTTATCGAATAGTGCCGCCTCCTCTACAGACATATGCGTCTCCAACTGGTCCAACATGTACTGTAGTGGAGGGAGGATTGCGGCATTTGTGATAAGTTAACAGCACGTTCCGATATGATCGCCAAATGCAGTCGGAATTATCTGTTCGTTTATACAAACTGAAAAATCCAGTCTGGAAAGTTCCATCGCACAATGGGGGAAGGGTGGGAGAAAACTTATCACAACCAGTGTGCTTAGCAGAAAAATAATAAAGTACCCCCCTCAAGGATGTTTCCTGTTTCACTGCTCCTGCTATCCAGCAGCAACGGGCTTAAGAATGGTTCACGAAAAGCGGCGACTGTTAAAAAGCTGAAAATGTGGTGCCAGGCGAGTGTCTAAGCAACCGCTGGTAGAGGAATATAACAAGCCAAAATGATTTAAAAGGAGACATTTCATGACCCCAACCTTAGCAAATTGATGGCGAAGGAGCTTTGATGAAGCTGAACTCAAATGGCCCCAAAAAAGGGTGATTCAGCAAGGGGTTATGAAATAGCCCGCCGCAGTGACTGCTTACGGCACAACAGACGCGGTTTTCAACCGGTAACCTTTAAAATTAGCAGAGCATCTCGTACTTAACCCTGATAGAAAAAGCCTTTTTAACCCCATCAGAAACAGTAAAATTAGCTAAAATATTTAGCATCTGACAGAGAGCATGCCGGAAGAAATAATGAATGCCGAAATACAGGCTGAGGCAGCATTAGTTCAGGGGATTGAGAAAGGTCCACTAAAACAGTGAAGAAGTAGGCGTCAGCCCCAAAAAGGGACTGTGACAATTCGCTAGAGTAGAATCCACTTACAGATAAGACTACTTATAATGTTGGATAAACACACAAAATCCCCTCTGCTAAATACATTGCTTCAAGGTTATTTGCATAAAAAGGGAGTCGTCAGTTAGGGACGAACTTCGCCATTGAACAAATAATATTCACTAAATGGGAGAGGTTAGGAGGAAGCAAGTCCACTTATCAAAATATGGGAGGTGAATTGGAAAAGTGATATCATAAACACGGTGCTAGACGACATTCAGAGCGGTATGGCAGGTGGGTATAATACTTGCAAAATAGGGGAGTAAGCGCTACGTAATATGAGAATATGGGCACAATTCACCTCAACCACAAGAATCAGCGCCGGCGGATTGGCCACAGTGGTAGATTGGACAATGAACTCGGGAGGCACATTTGCTCTAGCATCCCAGCCAAGGATCTGCTCTCGGGGAATCCACCCCTCCATATTAAGGAGGTCCAACCAGTGCCCAAGGGATTGCAGAGCCAATTCTACGTCCCATCGAGCTATCAGAAGAGCGTGAAATCCTTCATCCCAGAGGAATCCATGGGGGAATTTGTCACGGGAAGGAGTAGCAGTGAAGAGGGCGCTGGGCCAGTACTCCACCGATGGAATGGAAGTGGAATTGGGCTTTGGGAGGGAAATCGGTGCCTCGAGCAGAGGCGAATTGATCAGGCTGGTGCCGTAGAAGTACCCTACTCCACCAAGCATGTTGCTCAGCGATATCCTTGCTAGTTTCATCTGTTTAAAAGGAATCCTTAGTAAGAAAGATTGACATTGAAAGTAGCATTTTATTTGTCTTTAATAATGTCATTGATGCTTTCGCCAAGTCTATAACCTCCAAATTTCATGCTACCCTCAAGGTCAGATCGAAAGCTAGAATGAAACACTGCACATTAACAGATGACAGCTGTTTTAAAAGGGTGTCAATCAGTTTGTTATGCATCAGCCTCAAAGGCACTCTGGGGAGTTTTTCTTGCTTGTTGATTTACTTCTGACAAGAAATGGGTTTTAGTCACTCCCCAACCATCCAATTTTCACCAACTACCACAAAGCCTATGCAAGATGCCGCATTGTTTACATTGCCACCCAGTGCACGAACCTCTAAGGTCCCACACTGGGAAGAAATCGTCCATTTCTGCCACTAATAGGAACGACACAGATTACTGACAGTAATGAATGCACATTTAGTGTTGTTGTCCTCATCTTGCCACGTTTTACTTTGATACTCTTACCTATGTCGTGCCCCACCCCCCTCCCCACATATCACCACCATATATACGGTTTGTTTGTGTTTACACACGCACACGTGGTCGAGCGTAGCTGATACCGCCCTCACATCCTGCTTACACACCCTAGGCGCCTGGATTTCTCGCGCATGGACGTAATCCAGCCACAGGATAGCTTCATAATTGCATATTACTAAACCGTGCCCGTGTATGAGTCCCCTTTTACACCACCATTTATATGTATCGTGTGAGGTGTGAATGCTGCAGATGGGCCACTTCCGCTCTCTGATCTCATCACCGTACGCTTCACAAATCTTCTAATCATCCTCATCGGGCTATTGGTCCGAGAAATTGCCTCACCTATTTGCCATTACTGCCGCTACCCTGCAGACTCGGATGCTCACCTTACTGACCTTATAGGCGGCAGGACCTAACAGGATTAATAAACACAATGTCCCGTGCACTGCACCTAAGCCTCTCACTGGTACGATTTCAACCGCTTTTCTCCTCATTTTCCTTCCTGTTTTACTGACGTGCAACGTGCGCGGTCAAGTAAAAAAATCGGTACTTCACATGCACACTTGAAACCATAAGTTTCTGCCAAATTGTAGGAATAAACCCCAGAAAACAGGATGTTACCAGAGTAGAAGTGGCCCACCTGCTTTTCACTGATAGTGAGGGGATCGTACGGAAATTTGCGAAGAAAGGCCTCATGGAAGCGCTTTGAGTGCCCATTCAAAGCCTCATTGAAATGTAGACCGACTAGGGGCACCGCATCAGAAGAAGTGGAGGCCTGCGAGACGAATTCCACCTCTAGCACATCAAGAGGTGCTTGATTACGATAATAGGTATCGCCTCCATTAGCAGCAGGAGAGTTGCGGCGAATGGCGCGGATAGCAGGGCGGGTGACCTCCGTCACCCAGAGGTTGGTCGGCATCCCCGAAATTTTCGTCTCCGGTGAATAAGAGTTCACCTGATCCCCGATGAAGAAAACTGAACTACGATCCTCGCGCAACACTAATCCACTCGATATGGCCGCTACGAGGGCATCCTCCCGCGGACAGTGGCCAGCCAAGTGGGTGGGATTCAGGATGCTGCCTTTTGCGGTGTGAAAATTCACTTGGAAGGCGCCCAATTCTTGAGTGAAACCTTAACACGATGCAAGTAGAGAGTGACACGAGTAACAGCACAAAGTTACACTTTGCAATCAACGCGGTACACCTACTTTAATCTTTAGCAAAACTACTCTACCTGGCGCAAAGTGCCTTGCCCATTTAAGCCGTTCACTGCTGCTTCCATTTTAGACTACCCATTTGGATGCATTTTCGATCCGTAAAAAGCCGACTTTTGAAAATCTAACGAATGGGGGACGAAGTGGATGAATGAAGTGAGCGAGTAGATGGCGTTAGCTAAAGCAAATTCTTTACTAGCAAACGGAAAGAGCTGGTCCCTATGTATGTGGTAGAAGAGGAAACGTGACAATCTTTAAGAAAGGCCTCATGATCGAGACGCATTCTGGAAAATGTTGCAAAGAACCTTTAATTGGTTTGCCCCCCATGCCGACGTTGCCACAGTAATCACATGCGAAGGTCATCTGCTGCAGTTTTAATATCACACGAAACTAACGAGAAGCATGTCACTGACACGACTTATGGAGCAAAGCAAGACAGCAGATGTGACAGAGTTGGACAGACATAAGTGATGAACTACCTGGAAAACTATTGAGGCAATACCTGCATTATCATAACAAAACGAAGCTATTAAAAAGACAAAATTTTTTTCAAATAAACTTAAAGACGCTTTCAGAGCAGAAAGAAATGCGTTCCAGTAAAAAGTGGATCAATTAATCATTTCCTAAATTTTAAACCAGGGTAGAAATCGTGAGTAACGCTCTTTACTGCTTTTATACAAAGCAAAATTGACAAGACCTTTTGGATGTGTTGCACTCAAATAAGGGTAAAACCGCCATTACCTCTTGATCGAATGAAGGAATCAAGTCAGCCATTCGATGGTGATACTTTAGCAAATGCTTGAATATGTCAGAATTGCTTCAACTTGACTGACCGCCCAAACACACACAAACATACACCTTCAATGATATATTTAGGCGAATTACTACGAGAATAAGAGGAGAAGGCAGCAGTACACAGCATTAGTCTGAAAATGATACTAATGGGACTCAAACAGAATGGATCTACTCTTGTAGAATACATTAAATTAAATTATCAGTAAAACAAATGTAAGGAACACTAGAAGGCCTAGAGCCTCTCAAAAGCCAAAGACATACTGAACCCACCTCTTAAACGCTTCAATTCATTCCCGTTTGTGTACGATTGAATTCGTCCCCGTGTTGAATCGGGCAAGTAGGCGTAGAAGAGAAATGAGATTGAAGGTGCCGCAAGCAACTAGGCGAGAAAAGGAGTTTTCATGACATTGCAGCAGTTCGTTCTTCTAAACCCACGCACGGCTTTGCCTCGCCCCTTCTGATAAGTAGGAACAATGTGGGAATGCTACATTGGAGATTGTTAATGCTACAGGGTGCGTAGGAAGGTTGAGATGACAATGGAGATGGGTGAAAAAGTTATCAGAGCCTACTAGTCATCAACATTAACCGCGCCACTTGACACTTTTACACAGAGACGTTAATTCAAACGGCCACGCAAGAGCTCAAGACACAGTCACGAGTGCAAATTCGCCAATCAAAGTATAGTATAGAGGGGCAACAAATAGCCTTCCATTGAAGAATGCTTACGTCATTAACTGAAGAAACGGATATTCGAACAGACCAATCACCACCATTGGGAGTGGCCGGACGCTTAACAAACGCCACGGTGATATTGTGATTGCCAGCAATGATTTGTTCGATACCGTAGTTTCGTCCATCATGTTCAATCCAGTTATAGCTGAAGTGGTAAGGAAATCCCGAATCAAACGAGAGTAAAACCTCGTAGTACAACAGGTTTATTGTAACGGCCAACAAATTCAAACATATCAATAATAAAAGCAGACTACAGAGACTTGGAATAAATAGCTGCTAATCGCTAACCTCTTTATATCACCTTCATTCGTACACCGGTGTCGAAACTGCACTGATTTACCATCAGACGTCACCCAAGCCAAACCAAAAAGCATTGAATGGGGACTTCGGTGAGACATCCCGAAGAAGATGCCAGGTCTGTACGTCCCCCAAAACAGTTCTGGTGAGTGTTCCGGCCCAACTTCATCTGGACCTATCATTTTGGGCAAATTGATTGGGGTGTAGACTTGGCGCCGCCGCCTCATATTCTGGCTGTACTCTACACCAAAATGGAGCAAAACAGCAATAAAGATGATTACAGAAGCACCCATAATAAGTCTTCGGTAGAGTTCTGAACCAAAGTCACCGAACAATCCAACGCGAGTTTTGCGGTGCGGTCTGCGAATCCGTGACTTTCCAGGTGCCAACTGTGCAACGTTTTTGTTATTCGGGGCTGGGACAAAATTTTTTGGTACACCATTGGAGCTATTTGACTTTTGATACCGCGGCTTATCTTCGATGACTTTACCCTTGCCCATAGTAAATAGGCAAAATATCAGGAGAGACAATGGGAGCTGATGAAAGAAAGACAAAAGAGAAGAATACAGACAATCCGAGGTCAGCGCCTCCGAACTGAGTCGAGTGATTAAAGCAGTGTGATCCCCTCTAGCAAGCCAATGCGAAGCGCACCGACGCTGCCGCAAGACGAGCAACGTCCACGAAAATGCAGTAAACCAGTAAAAAGAACGTATGGCATCAACCAGTAATTTCTTTAGGGGGTAAATGACGTAGTGCATTTAAACCAAATTGCTTAAAAATTTAGGCACCATAACAAGGGAAGGCAATTACACTTAAAACAGACAGTAATCGAATCATCAATATTATAATTCAGCTATCTTGAAAGAAAATGAACGCTAACTACCATGCATTTGCTGTTTCTTAAAGTACAGATTGCATAATTGCTTCAGTTGCAAGTATGTTATCCAAACATGTCATATATTGTAGTTTCTAAGCGAAAACTTTTGCTGGATCCAGCAAAAACATATCCGAGTGGCTTTATAAAGGAAATCAATTTTCAGTAGAAATGGCTCAGGGAGGAGTAGAAGTAATCTTGCCAGACTTAGACTTGCTTAAGCTAATGTAATACGATGGTGGTTTATGCCTCGGTTCTGGTGAGGCGCCACTTTCGTGCTTCGAATTAGCCCCCTTGCACTTCGCTGGGTGGGCTGGCCTTTTGGGCCATGCCACTACCCCAGACACCTTCTCCGTGCTGAACATATATATATTCTGCCCGAGTATTGTGTCTTCTTTCGTCTTCAGGGAGTCCCAGAACGCTACACTAACACTGCACACCTAATCATTCGCACTAACTCCCTCTCTCACTATTCAATTTCTATGTTTTTTTAGTCAAAACTGTAGCCCCCGACTCTTTTATACCAGCCTGTCTTATAATTGCTACAGCTCAAATAGAAGCTCTAAAGGCGAACCACCAACACACTAATTGTTTCTAAACAAGGTCGCCAAAATTAGATGAAAATTAAGTTGAAAATCTTATGCACGGTGAGGATGTCTGCAACTCAAGGAAGGGTTGCCATCTCGATTCCCTCTCTTGTCGTCTTCCTGCGCCTTTTTTACCATAATACTTGCGGCATGCTTACACGAACCGATTCCAGCTTAAAAATGATGAGGTTTTTATCCGATAGGATTATCGAACTGCGATTCCGGCGGTGGTGCCAATGGGTGCTAGCTGATAAACTCATCTCTCAGAGGACACATCATTCCACTAACGGGAACTCCACGAGAAAAACACGCTCGCACCGATAAAATCACGCCAGATAAACAAAGTTCACGACGAGAACCGGCCGCGACGCTGCCGCTTGCCTTCAACATCACACTAGCATCAACAAAAACGACACCAAACACGAATCGAAGGTCAGATGTTTACCACCTTTGCTCATCAGTAATATTAGGCGTCTAACGTCAGGCAAATCAAAGCAGCTTTTCCTTAATTTAAACCGGCGAACAAAAAACCGACAGCTTTAAAAGATAAGAGAACCAATGATTATTGAAGGTAAACGGCGAAGAGGACTCAAGAAGATTAACGGTGTCCACGACTAGGAAGTGGGCCCTCCCATCCCCCAACACAAATTGACCAATCACCTTCGACCGAGGCCCACATAAGTCAAATTGTGATAAAGGGATTAACGGAGTTAACCACAAACCCAACATCGCTATAATCCCATGCAAGGGGGTCGAGATTCGGTATCCGACGCACCTAAACTTAATTGGCGTTCAAGCAAGACTGCACCAGTCAAACATAACAGGATTGGCTATTCGAAAGAGGAGAAAAACTCAATGTAGCGATGTCAAAACAACAACATGTATCAATGTCATTGCACATCCAGTCTTCCAGCTGCCCAAGTTTCCCATGAATCAAGCGAGAATGTGTCAATCGAATAACAAAGATTCATGGTTAAAAATAGGATGCTACAATGGAGATACTAGCAGTGGTAAAAGTGGGTTTTCTCAAGCAAAGCTACCAAACACGACTGAGAGGGCTGGCCGACGCGTAGCCGCTCTCTTTCACCATCACACTGGCAATGCGTTTGCGTAGATTGGCCTTCTGTTTGAAGCTAGACAGCTCGCCTTGTAGACGGTCCAGTGTCTCCAAAGTGAAGAGTTCGGCCAATTCCAGCTACAAAGTAGACGTTTGAAATACAAATGAGCGGATACACTCAAAAGCCTCAAGTTCAATAAGGGTGTGTCCCATCTGAGGGAGGAAATCGTTTACAAGTCGAATTCGACTGACATCTCAGTTGGGTCAACACCGAGACTCTCACCTCGTTATTGTGATATCTCACTCCAATACTCTTTGCTCTTGATGCTCTACTCAAAACCGCAGTCGCTGTAAACAGTCCCACCGCTAGATCTGAGAGCAGCCACAGAGAGAATTGGTCTTCATTCACTGTCTAAATAGTTGAAGAAAACATTAATACACAAGGCCACGGAGGCAGAAAGGGCAGACACCGGCAATATAAACTGACATTAGCATGGAGAATAAAAACCTGTCTGGTCAACTCGTATGCCTGCACCACTAGACGCGCCAGACGATCGCCCAGAGCTTGAAGGTTGGGATGGAGATGGTCACCAACACGCATCGAGGCTCGTATGCCTCGCTCTGTCTCCATTGTTGCTGCAGTAACGATAGCGGGTGACATGCCCCAGCGGCGAGTCAGCATTGCCGTACGCCAATCCTTGCGCCAAGCCTCGCGCAACATGTACCACATATGCTGTGAGGGACTGCGTGCGCACTCCACAAAGTGACGTAACTCCTTCCCAACCTTGGAGAGACTAGTGGAGGCAATGTAGATGCGAAGCAGGTCGTTCACACCCTAAAGCATGCCCAAGAAAACCACACCGATAACTCCCCACTCAAAACTTCGCTTTCAATCAAGGTGCTTACTGCATAAGGAAGGCATCGACAAACGAACTCCTAGGGATTACTGAGGTAATAGGACTTACCATGAAGGAGGTAAGTACCCTTGAATCACGCAGGTATCGTTCCAATGGCAGTTGTTTGGTAAAACCCAGTGCTCCTGCCAACGCAACACAGTCATTCAACAGGGTAAGAGTCGTTTCAGTTGCAAAGAGCTGTAATAGTAAAATTTTTCATTGACAAGGGTGTGTCCACGGAACAAGAACACACATACACACATACACACAGAAGGAGAAAGGAGTCGCCTTCCCGACTTCCAGCGATTTGGAAGGCTTCAGCCAAAACCGAACGACACTTTTATCGCGGAATAAGGATAAAGTAGCGGCAGAACGATTAGACCTGATTAAAGCGGATCGTACAGGTAAGAAAACTTCACGGGTGGTTGGACAGATAGATGGATAATAATTAAAAGGATTTGAGTGTGTTTGGCAGAGGTCAAACCCCAGTGACAGATTACCCAATTCCTACAGAAGACGGTGACTCCGTTCTGATCGACTGAGATATGAAATGCAGAACTCGAGTGTCTTGGGCAAAGCCTAACAAACGGACCAAGCAGTAATCGCAGCAATGGGCGACTCAATACGGAGTTAAGGCTCGCTATTATGATCAACAGTTGACAGAAGACGCATGGATAGAACAGCCATTTCAATTGACAAGCTACGCATCATGAAGCTGGAACTTACTATCTGGATCAATAAGTAGCGGGAATGGGGAATAACACGCAAGGCTTGTGTATGTTTGTGAAGACAAGGCGCAGACAGGCAGACCCACCACTTTCATAACAGAATAATTAACTAATCTCTGCTGTTACGATTAAATAGTAGCATAAGTGGGTCAACATCAAGCACAAGTTAATCACATGTGTGCAGAAGAGTCACCCACAGTGGAGGGTGGTCCTCAGAGAATATCCAGATTGCGAGGAAATCACCCAACATGGACGTGATATGCACCATCTTGATTAATAGGTTGGCGACGAATGGAGATAAACAAATAGAGGGAGTTAGGCAGACGGAATAATCAAACATGAAAGTGGATGAACCAATCAACCTTAACTGCCGACGACTCAATCGCCAAATCGCGCTGCGGTCGTGAAGTCAGAAAACCGGCCACAAGGTAGGTGACCGACTCCATCGCATAGAGTTGGGCGGCAGCGTGGGCTAACCGACGCTGCACTACACCAAAATGGCTGAGAGGACGCCCAAATTGGTGACGCATGCTGCAATGCTCCGTAAGAGCGTCCAGGACGTTGCGACAGAGACCCACACATAGACCGCCCACCAGGTAGCGCTCACTGCAAGCGATTCGTCCGGAGAGCTGGGAGTGAAATGGAGCGAAACAAAGTTAACCATCATGATCAAAAAGAAAGATACAGTGGAGCAGACAGCAAAATTACCAAAGCCCTAAATGCCCCTCCCATCCCAATATCGGAGCTTGAATAGGCTCTCTTCTTTTCCCTCTTCGTGATAGAGGTAAACGGCAACAATACACCGGATTGTTACACTGAAAACAGTTGTCAGATACAGTGGATGTTCATTTTAATGGCGCTTGATTTATTTAAATCCCTCCATTTGGACACTACGACGGTACCAAACTGGCACACCTTGTAACTCCTTGAGGGAACAAGATGCTCACCACATTGGTGCCAGCAGAAGACGAATCCATCCAAAAAGGGGGATTCGCGATGCAGAAGAGTGAACATGGGAGCATCGAGAGTGCAGTTCAAAACAGAAAGACATTTGAGGAAATTGCTCCCAGGATTTGGTCAAAACCATTGGAAAGGGGAAACAAGCGATTCGAAGAGAGCGGTAACTTTAGACCTCATTACCTAGCACGTCTTGTCAAGGTAGAAAAAGGCTCTTGTTAGGTAAGAAACTCACCTCGGTACCGGAGCCCAAAGCCCCCAGAACATTCTCCACCGGTACTCGAACATCCTTGAAGGTCACATCAACGACTGCAAGACAGAAGAAGGTAAGTAGATAGATAGATGGATGGATAGAAAGATAAGGGAAGAATGAACTTACGATCGAGCCCCCTAAGCCCAATCCTCTCTAGCGGCGGCTGGGCCTCAATGGTCCCTTCGAAACCACGTTCCACTAAAAAGGCGGAAAGCCTATCCTCGTTTTCTCCCTACATGAAGGTAACAGCAGGAGTCAAGGAGGTGAAACAAGGCACGAGGGGTATTCGCATTCAACGGAGATTGTGGAGAACCAGTACTATTCAAGCACGAAGTATAATGACAAAAGGAAGCAAAAGTCGCAAACCTTTTCGTTGGGAATGGAGGTGAGTGCAAAGACAGTGAAGACATCTGCACGTGAGCCGTTGACAACCCAGGCCTTGCGACCGTTAAGGATGTAGTGCCTGCTGTCTGGACTGAGAATGGCTCGAGCCTGGGATTGTGTTGATGTGGCTCCGCTGAGACCAAAACCGGGAGACATGAGAGTTGAGCAAAGCAGTTTAAGCATTTCCTGGTTATTTGACTTTTATTACACAAGCTTTGTAATCTAGTTTAGTTGCCACATAAAAGTGTTGATGAACGCTAAGGGGAAAATTTGTCAAACCCCTCCAATGGCACATCGCTTCCTAACAGAATGCAAGAGTACCAATGGCAAAATAAGTAGCGTGTGGGGCGAAAAAATAAGCAAAAAGTGTTAAGCAAATGAACTTCAGAAAAAAACGAGTCACGAAATTAGACAAACAAGCAAAAATATATCAAATCTAGAACATGGCAAATGTGCTGACAACAGTGCTTACATCGAAATAAGTAGTATACAAACAGGATGACACCATTACAATGTCAAGTCGCTTAACACATAAAAGTTAAATAGACAGTAATTTAAGAGCTGTGCTAATAGCAAACATAAGCCACGAACCTGGAGACCTCAGTCAAACAGAATGCCGCAATCTTTTCACCTGAGGCAAGAGCCGGAAGGTATTTTTCCTTCTGTGCCTCGGTGCCCACGAGTTGAAGACCCTAGAGAACTAAACAGACCTTCAGTATACGGCTACTCAAGAAATACAGGGAATCTGAGGCAATCAAACGAGACGCGAGGACTCCGATGTACCACTATGAAGAGCAATACTGACGTATGACTATTTCTTTGAGTTCAATGTGGAAGTATCGCCTTCATAACTGTCATTCGGGGCCTTTGGAGTAGAGAAAGATCCCCACAATAAGGTGTTGAAAATGTCCAGGCATATTAACAAATTCCCAATCGTGAGGACTGCCCTATGTCTCTTCTCAGGCAGCTCATGAGAACCAGCTGTACGGGAGAGCAGAAAAGGCAATCCGAAATAGGCCTTCAAGCCATGGGGTTTATGGGCATTAACAGCGCCAAAGCGATTGCTGCTTAACTCCCCCAAAGCACAGAAAAAAGCAAGGAAACGCACCTTCAAGCCAAGAGCTTCGTGTACCGTAACAGTGGCAAAGAGTGAAGGATCATAGCCCATCGCTTCAGCAACGAGAACAGACTCAAGTGGGGTCATATCCAGTCCTCCATAACATGGATTCACTCGTTGACCAAAAAGACCCATGATTTTGCAATCGCGCAGCACCTCCTCTGGAATTGCACCCTTCTCGTCAATTGATTTGCTGTCAACTAGAGAGTAAGACAGGGCAAATGGAGAAGTTTTAACTGGAGTTCGGTGGCAGATTCAAGTAAAGAAATAAAGAGGTCAAAAATTAATGACAATGAATGTGAACTTGTTAATCACACCTTTAGTCACCCAGTCCTCCACCGTAGTGAACAGGTTGTTGATTTGGATCACCTCCTCCTTTGTCGGCAATTCGGGGTATTCTAGAAGTTCCTGAAGATAAATGGAATGGAAAGATGAGCGAGGAAGTGGTACGAAAAACAATACAATCCAAATAACAGGAAGTGAAATCGTAAACAAGCCAAGAACTTGCTCGCTTACGCGGTGGAATCAAGCAGGAAAAGGGTACAGAAAATCAAGCTATTAAGGAGTGGTCTAGGTCACTGATATCGTTGTGGACAACCTTCATTTCAATGACCACATCGCTTAATGAATGGCAGAACCTGTTGACTCCGATTTAGGGAAGAAAAGCTGGCTCAGCATTCCAAACATACAAGAGGGACGCCACATTCTCTATCTGCAGTACTTTGACGGCAATAATCATGTCTAAATTACCCAGGAGTATTGTTTCAGATGACCAACATACTACTCCCCTTCTTTCTTCTCCCGAAAAGGCCATGAACTTCGAAATTTTTGACGAAAAATAGATTCGAGTAACAGCAACAAGTATACTACTTGATTGATCAAATCATCAGGGTAAGTATTACGACTGACAAAACCATACCAATTGTAGCTTCCCAAGAAAGTAGCTGGGAATGAGAGGGGCATCTGACACGGCGTATTTACGCGTCATATCGGGCATTTGCATGGCAACCTTGCTGTGGTTAACCAATTTTTTCAAGGAAGGCAGAATCAACCTCTCATCGTCCAGTTCCTTCTGACTTGCCGTCGGGGTTTCAGCGGCGGTGGAGAAGAACACGCAGCGTTGGTGACCCCTGCGTGACGCAATTGCCATGACTCGGTGTAGCATGGTTAGCGATGGCGTTGATTTTCCTAATTACTTTAGAATAGTGGATCTGAGTTGCATAATACAGAAACCGCCCAAGGAGGTAAGAATCGATGCTAAGACGGAGCAAAGCAAAGAATAAAGCTAAGACGGGAAAAGATATAACACTACTGCAGTCACATATAGTTAGAATTAAAACGACTGTACAAGACACGAGTGAACAAGACAACTACAGGATACATAGATAAATATCACTGTTTGTCTTTATCTGATGGATGTACGAGTCGCTTCAAAAAGGCAGGAGCTTCTGGTGTTGGGAGTCTTTTTATTTTTGGTTTCTCTTCAATAGAAAGACGAATATCTCGAGCCGTTTCCAGCTGTTTGAGCTGTCGACGATCGTCGTACACATCGATGCGGTTCGGAGGGATGAGGGCGGCCGCAACGTAACGACCTTCGAAATTGAGAAAGTTAAAGGTGCCCACGGCGAGTGGCTAGAAATCAAAATCAAGGCTAAGTACAAGGTTCATAATAAGACAGAAATTAGAAGAAAAAACCCACAGTTGACAAGACTTCAACGCCCAGGTTGTACTTCCAACACATGTTTATTATTTCACGTTGATTGATTTTCTCACTAGCAGCACCTTTACCAATAACCAGGACCTCTAAAATAGCAATTACAAGGGGATAGGATTTTTCATCCAAAAGCATACCTAATTCGGGGCACAAAATTCTAAACAAAGAAAGGGAATCCTCGTTAATATCGTTCGCCGAATTGATCTAGTGAGAATTAGTGGCCAAAAGGCCAAAAATAACTTTACCCTCCAAGAGAATGCACTTTGTGGAAACGAAACCATAGGACCATGGATAGCCGTCCCATTGCTAAGCATAAACCCATATTCGTTATAAGAGACAATGTAGGCACCAGCGAGGCTATAATTAACGATGTTTACATCTGCAGAAATTGAATTCTTTTTCGGATCTATTATTGCATCCGAAACCGAGGATAAAGGACGGTGACTGTGAAAAAAACCAACTCTGGATGTGCAGACCTTAGGGCACGGTGCAGCACAACGAAACGCAAAACGTGACCAGACAGGCCCAAACCTGTTCATAGTTATGACGGCCAAAACTAACGTCTCAAACAAAACCTTGCAAAGCCACTTGTTTTTTTTCATAAATAATTTTAAAAATTATTTAATGATGTAATTAGTCTCTACTAATTTTTTATTTATGTGCATGCTCAGAAAGCGCGCGTAGCATAAGGTGCTATGTAGTGCGCCTCGGTCGGATTTGATTGCTTCCCTAGTATTTAGGTCAAGCTGCTGTCGTCTGTCGGGAGAAAGGTTTGTTTGATTCCAAGGCAGTCTTTATTGTATTTTTGCCTTCAAGCTGTCATATACGCTTCACAGTTCATTATGATTAATGCAACATCATTCTTAAATTCCAGCAAGGGAAATGGCGACTAAAACCGTTCCTCGCGGTTCGAGACGACCTTCTCTTCAAATTTACGTTCCTCCAAGTCTTCGGAATTCTCGTGTGCCACAGCAAAAGGAGTGCGCTTTGTCTTCTCGTCTCCAAACAAACGCTGAGGACCACAGAAAACCATCTCCTAATGCCGTTCTTGATTCCCTTCAACACCTCACCCTTAACGATGATAATTTCGAAGATCTCGGATTCTTCATTCCTAATGAAAAGCCTAAAGAAGCTGTTAAAGTTCCCGTTGGTGCCTCTACGAACTATCTCCAGGGTCCTGATCTTGACTATGATAAACTGCGCCACATAATCGAACTCTATGACTTCCCAGCCGACCTTGAGAGCATGACCCTTGAAACTGTGTTGCGCCCCTTTCACGAGAGTGGCTTTACCCTTAAGTGGGTGGACGACACTCATTGTCTCGCCGTCTTCTCCTCTTCTCTCACTGCTGAGCAGGCCCTACGACATATCAATGGAGTTCTTATCAAGGTTTTTAAGTTCATAGCCAAATTTCGTTCCTTTACTTGATGTGATAAGTTAACTGTTTCCTTTATTTTATCGATAGGCTCGCCCTGTAGAAGAGGCATCCTTGGCTTCGAAATGGAAGATTGCCAAGTCTCCAGGAGATTGGGCAATGCCCTATAAGAAACGGCCACCGCATGATAGCAGTGTTGCCAATCGAATCATCTCATCTCATCTGGGGCTGCCGCGACCTAAGACTTCTCTTGTCATTCATCAAGCTCAAAAGGAGGCCAAAGGTAAGTGGCGCCAGAGGATAAAGTCCTTTTATGCTCTTGTCGCTCGCCTATATGCGATTTAGAATATTTCCGTGGTTATTCACCTGTTGTTATTTCATTGGTCAATCATGTAGACTTTAGTTGTTTTCAGATTCAAAGAATACACTGTATAGTGTTTCCGCTGCGTTAAACTGCTTCTACTACACTTGGGGTTTCATCTTTTCATATTTCATTAGGCTTCTGTAAACGGTTTCAGAGATCTTGCCAACTGCCGCATTTATTGTTTTTACCCTGGATAGGGAGTAGGTGGATAGGGCCAAACTCTGGTTTGGTGATTACACAACACGCACAACAAATGGTTAGGTGATTCGTGTTTTGATGGCCCTTGTGGTGTGATTCCGCCAATCTCCCCCTTTTGTTACCATGGTCCATCAGAGGTTGCTCCTTGTCTCCTGTGTGGGCCAAGGGGGATGAGCTGGCCCTCCACGCATATCATGCGATTTTGTGATCTCCAAGCCAATTTAATGATGAGCTAATAATTTCACCTTCACGTTGAATCCAGTTGGAAAGGTTTTTTCCTCCCTGTTCCACTCACGGAAAAGGCTCCTCATGCCGCTCCATATCGCCTGTTGGGCAAGAGGGGCTTTGCAATATCACTAAACAATCTTCCATTTGTGATTATTCTATGTGGAAACCGTTAACCTCCGCCATATATGAGTTTTTTACATGGTTAACTATCCGTATGTGTCATCAAACTTTGGCTCTAATAATTTACCTCCAAGGCTAAAGATTTCTCTCCTCATGTCTGTCTGTTTCCTGTTACTACTGCGGTTTGGCTAAAGCCATGGCTTATTATTCACTCTTTTAAATAATTCCAGGCTACTACTACTAGTCCCTCTTCTCGCACTGAGTAGATAACGCCAAAAAACTTGAATCGTACTATCCCTTCTTTACTGGTTAAGATAAGATATTTTGAGCGGTTGTGGACCTTCATTTAAAAGATAAAACAACGTGAAACTTCCGTAGGAGAGCTACATTCTTTGCTCTTTACTCTGCAATAACTATGCCTATGTTGAACTTTCCGAGCTGCGGGCCTTAAGCATCACAGGCCCCATCAAAATGCATTCCAGAGGCCGATTGACCCATTCCGTGGCGTCGTCAACCCTATATCTTACCATTCCATTTTTCCGGCTTTAGAGAGACGCGAGCGAAAAGAGCAGAACCGGAGGGCAATGTGGGGTGACGATTAGTCACTGCAGCGTTGTCCAATCGCATCATCACAACTGGCATTTACGGCTTTCATTGTAACCTATTCTTTAGCTTTGCTACTCACTTAACATGAGTAGACGGTTTATCTTGGCGGTTCTGGGCATTGTGATAGCTGATGACTGTTTTTACGTGATCTCTGTCTCCTGCATTCAATTTTAAAGCTTTGGCAAGTGATGTTTCAGGTTTTTGTGCTTTATACGAAGGAGTAATTAGAGAAACTAACACTTTAAAGTCCGCACATTGTTGATGCTTTTCGAAAATCACTGAATTTACGCAGAGGTGTGGAAGGGTAGTTCATCAAAACTTGGAGGTTAGCGAGCTCTAGAGCAAGGTAAAGGTGTGGAATCATGGCAGAGAAGGGTTGGTCGATACAGGTTTTTGAATCTCGAGAGTAAGGCACACGTGGGGTCTGTCAAGCCCTAGCAAAAGACTCACTCAGTAATTTTCATGCAATACGGATTGAATTAATCACCAAGAAAGGTGAATATTGGAGAAGGTATTTACCTAGAATTCGGACGTAATGACTGCACTTGGATGGAGGTGGCCGCCGAAGCACTTTCTCAGGCTGAGGTGAATGGCAATGATACACATAGTGGGTGAGTAATACGCATGCTTTTTTTTTCGGGTGCATTTGTGATGCAGGAAATATTGCACAAGTATTAAGAACTTCGGAATTTTTTCACACCTTTGAGGAGAACCCAGCCCTTCGCCTGCATTGGCATATCGGCCAATAGGGGTGATCTGGGATAAAATGACAAAAAAGTGGTCCCTCTCCAGTTTGAAGAACTGATTTTCCTAAGAGGTGGACTGTCCTGGTAGGCACTAAGGTCAAACTTGAAAATAAAAATCTGAATAGGAGCTGGATTTAAATAGGGAAAGCATTTTGTCTGAGAATTTTCAGTGGTAGCGTCTAGTTTCCACAGAGCGGAGCTACGCTGCCGATAGAGGGTAGTATCATGGAGGGAGGAGCGAAGACCCCAAAAGACAAAGGACCGCAGATACTGTTTTGGCTGTGCGTCCGATCCTGTAGACTTCCACAACCCCCCGCAACTTGAACGCTGTGAGGAAGTTAATTATCCGCTCTATAAGTCTACCATTCACGTGAGAAGCTTGAGTGTGGCCCAAGGCGGACAATATTGTACTAAGGCGTTGGATAAAAGAGCCACATATCAAGCAGCGCCGGTTTTGGTAGACCTAGGTAAACAGAAGTGGGTTACGAAGGAGGCGATTTAAAGCGCGTACGACTGTGCGCAAGCAGTAGACGGTAGACATTCTGAAGTACAGCACCATTTGCGCGGCATTTTTGCGGGTCGTGTTGTGGAATCTGGAGTTGTCGTTATTAGCGTCAAGATTAGCCCTTTTTTCACTGGCAGATTCACCAGTCCAGACTGTATCTGAGGGAGGATTGAGTTTCCAAGTAAATACTTTATTGTCGTGGCTTGATGTATCGAGTATATTGATCTTAACCATCTCTGTTGTTGAGACTTTAGATAGTTGACAATTCCTAGCAAAGAGTGCCGGCGGTATTTTAACCCCACAGAAAACAAACAGTCATTTGGGAGTAAACCGATGCTTAGAAGTGCCCATATTGTGTTGCGTGCATAAACAATGATTTTGTAAGTTTCCACACTCACCGTTAAAAGTCAATCTATCTGCCATTTTGTTAGATGGCATAAATTGGAATTTTCCAGAGTCTCTTCTCACAAAAATTGAAATTAGCTGATACGAATTGATTTGGACTTATAGATAATACCATGGCAGCGGTTAAATTGTTGTTTGTAAATAAACACGAAAATTACTTCTAAATTATCCTATGCAAAAGGACAGATTTTTATCAAACTAACTTGCTGCTTTGCAATGCAATTTTTGTTTTTTAACGTGAATTTTTGTTGCGCGGACGGAATGCACTTCCATCTTGGAGGAATAATTACCCATTACATCTCTAATAACCTCTTTTTACGATCTCGGAGAAGAAGCGGTGTGCCTCATTGGCGTCAACGATCTAAAAGGGGATGTCTTGTTACTTCCTTGAGTGGTTGGCAACTCTAAAAGTTCGAAGTAAAAGGATGCCTGCAGTTGTGGTGGCTCACTACCACCGAAGGATTGAAAAAGCCCAACTTTGGACAATTTCCAACCATTGTCCTCTTCACGATAGCCCCTGTCGCAAAAATGTTCCTGGAGGTCGCAAATACCTTTAAAAGAACCGATTTCTACACTTTCGATGGGTGCTTTGAGGCAAAGCTTGAAGAGTAGGCTGGGGGAGGGAGGTATTGGGCAGGCTTGAGTTTTACCTCCTAGTGGATCATCGTTCAAGAGTGTGGGTCAAGTTATTTGGAGATGTCCAATGGAACCCATGAGATCGAAGGGTCGTCTCTTGTTAGGGCGCGTCTCGTGCTTTGCTACAGTTCACACGTGGACTTGTTAAGCTCGAAACAGAGGGTGTTGGTGTGATACGTCCATCCAATCTATATCTATCCATTTGTTTTATTCACATTTTAAGGACTTCGTTAAAGAAGTGTTTAAACACAAAAGAGACTATTCTTTCCCTTCTAGCAACTACCCTCTCACTCATGTCCTCCTGGATTGCTAAGATCACATTCAGGTACACTTTAAATGCGCGTGCACTCACTTCATGTTTAAGAGCAGTAACCCGCTCCTTCTCGATCCACCTATTCACCATTCCCCTTTATCTACCTCCTCTATCTCTCCGCGTCGCACCATCCACCTCCCCCAGAAGAGAGGCAGAAAATGTGCATGAATGCCTTACAATCTATTCGATGCATGCCACCTGACACGTGGCAC